TTGGTGATTTTATATTTTTATATAAAAATTTTAAAAATCGATTTTTTAAATTTAAATCAGATTTTAAAAATTTAAATAAGATTTTTTTTTTTTTTTTGAAAATGTCGTCACAGTTTGGGATTTTTGGTTGCTAAAAGTATGTACTTTTAGTGCAAAATGCATTGTCTTTATTTTAACTAATGATTAATATAAGCAACTGCAAAAGAAAGCCTTAATCTGCTTTATCAGTGAATTATGGCTAGATAAAAAATGAAGAAAATGTTAGTCTAAAAAGAAGGGGGGGGGGGGGGGGAATTATGCATAGATAAACTTGCATTTTACTACAGTTTTAATGTGTGTGTGTGTGTGTGCGCGCGCTTGTGTTTGTCTAAAAAGAAAAAAAAAATATGCTAATTTCAATTATGAAAAAAAAAAGAAAATTGAATACTGTATTATTTTACAGTGACAGGGGGAAAGCAGACTTTTAAGCATGATTATATTAGTCTACTAAACCTTATATCTGTTTTATAAAACCAAGGAAAGAAATTCTGAATGTTTATAGATGTAAAAACTGAATACATTTTTTAAAAGTGATTTAAATGACTGAGTTTTATTTTTAAAATCAAGATTTAAAAAAAAATCAACTGATTTAAATCAACCCATCTCTGATTTTAATTATGGAAAAAAAAAGTAAATTGAATACTGTATTATTTTACAGCGAAAGGGGGGAAAGCAGACTTTTAAGCATGATTATATTAGTCTACTAAACCTTATATCTGTTTTATAAAACCAAGGAAAGGAATTCTGAATGTTGAAATATGTAAAAACTGAATGAAAATAATCTTTTAAAAAAGTGATTTAAATCATTGATTTTTATTTTAAAAACCAAGTTGATTTAAATAAAAAAAGTCAACTGATTTAAATCGACCTGATTTAAATCAACCCAACCCTGACAGACACATGACACACACACAGTTCATGATGTACTCGTTGCTCCAGAAGTACAGGGTGAGCTCCGCCACCTGTCAGACACACACACACAGACACACACATGACATGTTACACAAACAGAGACTAGACCTGGTTTTACGGCACTAGCAACACAATAAGGTTATATCAGTGCCGAAGAATAGAGGTGTTACAAGAGAGTAACATACACAAAAAAGGAGAGATAAAGATGATAGATGTTTGATAGGAAAGAAGAAGCAAACCACACCAGAGTACCCGCCAACCGCCCACTCACAGAAAGTAACAAACAATGGAAAGAAGAAGCAAACCACACCTGAGTACCCGCCAACCGCCCACTCACAAGAAGGAACAAACAATGGAAAGAAGGAAGAGAAAAAAGGATGACAAAATATTTCAGAGGAGAGAAGGAGCAAATCCCAGCAGAACAGCTGCCAACCACCCAGAGCAAAGAGCCCCCGGCATGAGCTGCGGTGGGCGTGTCACCGACCTGGAAGTGCGGACTGGAGACACACTTGGCGATCTGACGGAACAGGTCCTCCTGGATCCGCTGGAACTGGGTGGGCTCAATCACGTCCAAGATCTCCTCGATCTCACCCAGGAACATCACCTGAAACAGACAGTTCACATACAGTTCACACACAGTTCACAGACATCACCTGAAACAGACAGTTCACATACAGTTCACACACAGTTCACAGACATCACCTGAAACAGACAGTTCACATACAGTTCACACACAGTTCACAGACATCACCTGAAACAGACACACACAGTTCACATACATCACCTGAAACAGACACACACAGTTCACATACAGTTCACATACATCACCTGAAACAGACACACACAGTTCATATACAGTTCACACACAGTTCATATTCGGATTCCAGAGATAA